ATTCTCCATATGGCCCTTGATGAGGGCTCGAACACAAATACAGGCAGCAACATCAGCATTTGCTATGAGGAAGTTGTTGACTTTGCAGAGGACAAGAGTAAGACTGCTGTAATCATGCTAGCAGCAAATATACTACTACTACTACGGTTGATTTGAAGCTGAAATCCTTGACAAGAATCTTTGAAATGCATTTGTCCCAAAGGCAAGGGGCCTCAGGGTGGCCCTGAACGTCGCAGGGCTTTAAGGATGGTAATGACCTTCACAAGAGGTGATTTGGTCCCAATGGATACATTCAGTCCACCACTGTTGAAAGGGTGCATCAACCTGCATATAAAATAGGGACTTACCTCCTCTTGAGGTAGGAGGAGTGGCCTCTGCAACTGCATTTCTAACATTATAGCCAACAAAAATTGAGAGCTGCTGCAAGAGCCCAGGTCAGTCTGTGGGTAGGTTGTTAATCTACACAGGAAGTATAGGTTTCTGTTAGGGTGATAGCTTTGCTAGTATAATATTTCCCACCATTGCAGATGTCTCAAGATTTGGGCTCCTCAATACCTGGTGTACTAAGGTTATTTTCCTTATTAATATATGTAAGGAAGGATAGTCATGGTGTCTTCAATACAACTAGTAGCATATATGAGGTTACAAAACATGCCAACTTTATGGTACCAGTCAAGCTACTTCCATTCAGAGGGAAGAAAACTGTCTCATTGCAGTGTTTGTTTAAGAGTCATGAGTGTGAACTTTGTCACCCTGACTTGTTTGGAAACAGTCTCAGGGGAATCGATACTAGTAGTACTACTACTAGGGGTTGGCAAATTGTCACAATCAGGCAAAAGGTCCTGCTGGTGATTAATTAGTGTGTGTAAATGATGTGCAGCAACATTGAGTTGACCAGCCTGTAAAGTAGGGACACCCTTGCCACTAAAGGCAAAGCCAACAAGAAGGGATCCAAGCAAAAGTAATGCTGACCCTGTGGGTTGAGTGAGCATGATGGTCAGTAATAGCATAAATGATATTTTGACAACAGTGAACATGCCTGTCATCAACATGGGTAGTAATGATGGTGCCCTGCTGGAGTCCTCGTTAGATTATAGGAGACTGGAGAAAAAATTGCATTGGTGGCAAACAAAATGTATGGGTTGTGGAATATTTTCATTCATGAATGGAAGTTTCTTTGGTGTGCTTAACTTGTACAAATAAATTGATTATATTGACATCACAAATCAAATAAAAATGGGAAATCTGTTATAGTGGGCAACAGTGGGGGTGCAACAGCAAAGAAATATCATGGTATTTTTTTGCCACATGTGATAAAACACCAAGTGCAAATTATGGTCGTGACAAACAAAAATTATACCCTACTACTAGAAGCATCTCTCAGACATGAACTCTAGTTCCAGAAGTTCAGCTGGTCTGGAGTTGCAGTGGTGATGCTTGTAGAGAACCTCAGTAAAAGTCTAGTTGACTAGTAATAATGGGTTGATTAGCAAGGTAAGTCTATTGTTGCTCATAACCTGCAAAATACTACTAGTAAGATGCTCTTACTATATGGCAATACGTGGCAATAAAGAGTGAGTTTATTCACCATCTAGTACTCCGGATTGAGCCAGAACAACTCAATAGATTGCAGGATGATTACCTTTTAACATACTGGTGATGACGCACATATCCTCATACTGCTGTCCGATACATCAATCAACTAAGGAGAACCAAGTACTTAAAAGGAAAATATATTACTTAACAATGGATCCAAAAAAATGACTCATCACGAACATTAACTGACAATTTCCTCATAATGAATCCAAACCATGACCATTTTCACAATCAACAAATTTGAACCATGACTACCTACTTAGCATAGAAGAAGAACCTGTTAAGAAACAAATTCTTTATGGGCGGGGAGCAACAATATTTTACTTACAGAACCCAAAAAGATAAAAGCCAGTGGAACCTGGTACTTGTTCCTCAAAAAATCCAGCAGAGCCTGGTGCAATGAGCACATAGGTCCACACTGAGGTCCTGTTGTGTAGGACCAGTAGTACTGAGGACCATTCATGGACCACTTGTGAACCCACTGGACCTATGGTACAGAACTACAAGGTTAGAGTCAATTGTGAGTCCCCCGTCTTAACCCTGTGTCATATAATACATACTACTAGTCATATATGCTACATATGAAGATCATAGTGAATTCCTATTCTCAATGACAACACTTTCCAACAGAATCAGAATCAGAATCAGAATCAGAATCAGAATCAGAACAGAACTAATGAGTTACCAGCCACTTTGACGAAGAGTTCTGTTCTGAAGCCCCTCTGTAGAATCAGTACCACATTCCACAAGGGATTAAAACTACAGAAACTAGTTCCTGATCAACTACAACAACACAGGGAACTGTGTAAGAGGAGATCTAGACCTATACATTGACTAAATCATTATAATTCACTATAAACACCATTGTTCTAATTTATCAGTACACGATCTTTTATGCACCTGGTACTTCTTTCTGCCAATGTAACAAATCCAGCAGAACCTGGTACTTCTTTCTGCCAATGAAGGGCCTCATCAATTGATGTAGTAGTTCTCTGGGACATTCTGCCAACATGAGTTCATTGGTGGTAGTTCAACGACATATGATCATATGGATTTAGATTTTCATGAACCCACAACTTGATCTTCCAAACACTGTATTCTGGCAAGGTCTTGGTATGTTTGAGCTCCTCTAACCATGAGAAAACTGTTTTCTTCGTGTGGTAAACTCATATTAGTATGCATCTGTTGTTTCAATATAAAACCATGACTTCACCCATTGCTTCCATACCATTGCAGTTCCTTTTGCTATCAACCAGGAGAACAATACCAGAAAGCAGTTGAGGAACATAATATCAGTGTTCATTGGTTTTGCTGATCAGTTTTAGCAACATTGAATATCATGTTGCACTCCCAGGACTTGCCTTGAGACATCAAAGTGGTGTCATTAGCAGCAGTTAGATTTGTTTGTCCTGTTGGTAGTATTGGTAGTGGGTGTTGTCATCCTGGTAGTCTTTGAGGTATAATTTGTATTTGGTGCAAAACAAGAGAATGCAATGATAAGTGAGAATCACAATTGGAAGAATACTAGAGTTCTTGATGCAGAAAATGGTTAGAATAAACAGTTAGTGCTGGTGGTGGAAAGAAAACCCTGATACGGAAATTAGTTCAAAATGGAAGAATGAAGCTGTTGATGCAAAAACCAGTGATGAAGAGTTCTTGGTGGTGGCAAGAAATCCTTATGCAGAAAGTAGTTTCAAATTTTAAGAAATAGTACTACATCTCTGGGCGGGGAGCCCAAGTAGTTACAGACTCACTCTTAAAGTTGCAGGATCATACATGGGTGACAATGTAATAAATGATTTTACAAAGTGAGAAGTAGATTAATTGCTGATGTTAGTTCCAATTAAACCGACACCAGTGGTCAGGGGAAGGGTGAATGTTCTGCTGTGTGTGTGTTCTTGTGTTGTGGTCATAACTTGTTCTTGCCTCTGTTGTGTCTTTTTTGGGGTGTGCAAGTTTTTTTAATTACGCAAGGGAAAAATTTAATTATGGTCCAGAAAAATAGAAGAGCAGTACCTGAAAAGTCTGTGTTGAATGAGGTGTGAGAAGGAGTGCACCATCAGCAGTATGTTAAAACTAACTGCCATGCAATCTATTTACTACTACTAGTCCTTCTGGAACCATATCAGCAATTTCAATTTTTTTTCAGAAAAAATGAATTCCCAAATACTCATTCTTCAATAATGTGATCAGAACCAATCAGAAATGATCACAAAATCTCCGGATTTTTTATCACAATTTTTTGTGATCAATGTTGGTCAAATTTTTTTAAATGGAAGGGCCCTCTGCTGTTAGTTTTTGAGGAAGACACAAGTTGCCAACCAAGATCAGGGTTTCCCATAGGTTTTTCCCATGTTTAAACAAAGAGAGAATTGCCCAGGCAATATTTGCAATGTTATCTTTGTTTCTCTTTGGGAAACAATTGACGAATCAAAGAGAAACAAGGAGAAGCAATATTCTCTTTGTTTCTTCTTCTCTTTGTACTACTAGTATGAATGGCAATTGCCCCATCACTTCACTATGTAAAAATGCAGAGAATAGTCCAATGGGAAACAAAGAGAACAAACAAGGAGAGGGAATATTCTCTTAGTTTTTTTTTGTTACAACAAGAAACAATGAGAATATTGCCCTTCTAAACAAGGAGAAAAATTCTCTTTCTTTCTCCTTTTTTTGCGGGGTGTACGGGAAACTACTCTATTTTGAAAAAATTACTGATGGAGGGCCCAGTAACTCATTTTTTGAAAACGTTTTATTGTGAGACATTAACACCACAATCACGAGTACCTAGTGAATAACCAGAACAACTAAATAGACCCCTGAGCGGTTTCGTTCGACAATAATTCGATTTTTTTTTATTCTCCCATCTCGATTTCCCCTCTCCCCCCCCTCCACACACAAAAACTACCGAGTCCTTAAATATTTCTATTAGTGGTCCTTACTACTGGAGAGGTAAATTCATCGGTTACTACTTGAGAATTACTATTAGGGCTTGCTACTGGAAAACCTCTATTACTACTTACTACTGGGGATGTTATAGTAATGAGCACTGCG